TTAAAACATAAAAATTAGATGTAACTAAAATGAAGGGTCTTTATAAGTTTTTTCAGTAATAATTATATATATGTATACATATGTCTTTGGTAGCTTACAACTGGAGTTTTGCTGGGTTAAATAATAAAAATTATTAAATATGTAGGTATTTTGAAATAAAAGGATACTGAAATATTAATTAGTCTGAGTTTGCATACTTTTGGCTTCTTATTACCGAGACTCTAGAGGATGGATTTGAATCTGTTAATGAATACATCTTGCATTTTATTTGAAATATAGCTTTAAAAAATGTGAATGTATTGCTAACCTGAGGAATGTTAATTAATTACATGTCATCTAAAAATTAAGGTTTCTAAGAGTTAAGAATGCTAACTAATTAGAAAGAAATTGTATGGTTTTGGTAAAAGAAGGCATGAACATACATTTTATAGAAAAAAAAGAAAATAAGTTGCTTTATTTCTGAATAGGTAAGAAGGTTTGTGAAAGTTATAGAAGAGTTATAAAGAGAAATCTTAAAAGAAAATTATAGGTAATCTGAATAACAAATTTAATTAGATAAATGTGTTCTGGCCACCATGGCCAGAAGAATATACCTGAGGAACTAACACTAAAGGTAGAACAAGATCCCTACTGTATAGGACAAGGCCCAACAAGCCAGCCCCCTGAGTTCCCATAGGAAGAACCACCAGTCACGCTCCGGCCAAGCATAACCCCATTACTCATTATAAGACACTGTGTTTAAATCGTCCCTTTTGTGTTGCTAAAGGTCCCCCCTTGTTTCCTGTAACAAAAGCTGACAGCCTGACAAATTCTTGGAAACCCCTTTACTGCAGTGCCTTTGTGGTTACTGAGCATAAAGTGAGGGAAGACTACGGGTCGGGCCGCAGTTCGGCTCTCACTGGGTGAGACGCTGCGACCATAGCCGCTGGCCAGCTAATGAAGGCTCCAAAGTCCAAACACAAACTCTGGGGGTCGCCTGTTGCAGGTCACCCAGAACATTTGGAGGCCCCAGTGAGATCACTCTAGCCACTGGCCGGCGGACACCCCAGGTGAGGATACTCCAGTATCCGTCCTGGGTTCCAGGGAGGCGGAGTATCTCCTCCAATTTGCTATCCTACCGTGAGAGCTGTCTGGACCCCCCACGGGGAGGCAAGCACGTGCTATCTGTCTTCTGTTGGGAACATTCCTCGGCAGGACCCTCAGAGGGCTGGACGCAGCAGAACTTCCAGGTCCAGACCCTCAGCTGTGATGGCGGCCAGGGTCTCCGGTGCGTGCCGCTTTATGGGGGCACCTGTCTTGTCCGTCTGTTTTTCGTTGTGATTGTGTTTGTTGAAATGGGTCAGGGACAGTCATCTCCGTGTGCACCATTACAATGTTTTCTCAATAATTTTAAAGATTTCCAACAGCGGGCAGCCGACTATGGGTTTGAAGTAAATGCCTTTGATCTTGAGAAATTCTGTGACCGTGAATGGTCAACATTTGGGGTGGGGTGGCCGCCGAGTGGAACGTTTGATCTGGTTATTGCCTATAAAGTACACAATAAGGTCTATGGGAATCCTGGCCACCCCACCAAATCCCCTACATTCAGTTATGGGTTGATTTTCTCATTGATAGACCCCATTGGCTAAAAAGTGCCAGAACTCCAAAAAGAAAATGGGACAGAGACAGGCGGTCCTACTAGCAGGACCAAAGGGCAGAGAGAAAGAAAAGAAACCTCCCATTCTGCAGGCCGAGAGAGACGACTTTCCCCTTGTCTGGCTGCCTCTCTATGTTCCTCCCCCGCCAGCCGCTGGCCCCCAGCAGCCTCCCTCTCCAGACTCCACGGGACCCTCAGCCCCGACACCTAGAGACCCCTTGAGCCCTCCCCACATTAGGCAGGGTTCTTCCTATGGGCCTGGAGTCCTGGTGACGGAGGGAGATAATTTAGATCAGGCGGCCCTGATTCTCCCCCACGACAGGCGGGTCTGTAGGGGCAGGTGGCCCTGCTGGGAGGCCCTTTATAGTTTATGTCCCTTTTTCCACCAGCGACCTCTATAACTGGAAACAGCAGAGTCCCTCTTCTTCTCAGGACCCCCAGGGCCTGATCTCCCTCCTTGAGTCGGTCTTTTTCACACACCAGCCGACTTGGGATGATTGCCAACAGCTCTTGCAAACCCTTTTTACTTCGGAGGAGAGAGAGGATAAGGGCAGAGGGCCGGGAATTAGTCCTGGGGCCGGGCTAGAGGCTGTGTTTCCCAGGGGCTGGCCCACTTGGGATCCAAATTCAGATCAGGGAAGGGAGGCTCTCGACAGGTTTTGCCAGACTCTCTTGAGGGGCCTCCGGGCTGCAGCCAGGAAGCCCCCAAACCTCTTGAAAGTCACCGAGACGGTCCAAGGACCGAATGAAAGCCCGGCGGCATTTCTTGAAAGATTATACGAGGCATATCGGGTCTACACCCCCATAGACCCCGAGGCCGAAAATAAACGCCGAGCGGTCAACATAGCTTTTGTGTCCCAGTCGGCCCCAGATATTAGAAAGAAATTACAGAAGTTAGAAGGCTTTGAGGGAAAGCCGCTCTCAGAACTGGTCAAAATAGCCCAGAAGGTTTTTAATAATCGGGAGGATCAAGCCCCCAACCTGAATGCCCGAATGGCGAAGGTCCTGTTGGCAATGCAAGAGAACAGAGGAGCCCAAGAGAGGTCAGGCAGGAAGGAGGGGAACAAAAATAGGAGAGAAGCGAAACCGAGGCTGGGCAAAAACCAATGTGCATATTGNGAAACCGAGGCTGGGCAAGAACCAATGTGCATATTGCAAGGAGGAAGGGCACTGGAAGCGCGAATGCCCCAAGAGGAAGATAGGCAGACCCGTCCCTGTACTGGTAGAAGAGATGGACTGAGGATGTCAGGGCTCTGATGGCCCCCAGGAGCCCCGGGTAACGTTAGAGATAGGGGGCAAACCTGTAGACTTCCTGATCGATACAGGCGCCACTTTTTCAGTCTACAGCAACCAGTTGGGCCAGTGTCGAAAGGGAAAGTCCCGATTCAGGGAGCCACAGGACGCTTAAAATCCTAGCCCTGGATCCAAGCCTGTATTTCTAACCTGGGGACTAAGACTGTTACCCACTCCTTCCTCTTCATGCCAGAATGCCCGTATCCCCTCCTCGGTAGGGACCTCCTTAGCAAACTGCAGGCCACCAGCACTTTTGTGGAAGGGGAATCACAAGTGACATTTGGGGGACCGACGGCCCATGTCGCCCCAATTCTCCTCCTAACATGTCCGCTCAAGGAAGAATACTGTTTGCATGAGACACCCCCAGCTTCCTCTGCCCCCAACCTGCTTCTGCAGCAGTTGAGGCAGGAGATCCCAGGAGTGTGGGCGGAAGGGAACCCTCCTGGGCTAGCAGCCCAGAGGCCTCCCATCATCGTCCAACTAACTAGTGTGGCCAAGGGGATCGGGCTGGCCGAGGGGACCAGGCAGGCCGAGCTGCCTCCCTGTAGCCCTGCCCGAAGCACTCCCCTCCCCGTGCAGGACCCTCAGCCTGGGGGAAGGAAAAGGGTCATCAAGGAGCCACCAGGTAAACAGCACCTTTTATTCCTTTTCTCGCTCTTTAGAGGCCACTTACAGGGGATCACATGGTCTGTGTCTCTCTAGAGTGGACCTGCCTGCCACTGCTGACCAGCCTGCCCCAGCCTCTCCTTTCCAAAGTTACAGGTACTATTACTGGGACTTGGTTAAGTTTATAGGTTTAGCTGGAGGAAAATTAATACCCTTATGAAACCAGACACAATGGGTCCCAGCTGCCTGTCACTACTGGAGCCACTTAAGCAAAGACAAAGTTGAATCACGTAAGGCCGTTTATTCCAATAATGCCCGCAGTATGGGAGAGCAGCAGGGCACCCATGAAAATCCGCTCCACCCCTGCACCGCCTTAAGCCATGAGCCAGCTGCTCCTATGGGGCAGAAGGACAGAGCTACATGGGGAAGTGGGCAAAAGGAGTAAGGGTGGACACAGTGGTTACAGGTTATGGGAAATGCGGGCTGGGGGGTTTGCAAAAGGGTGGGGCGCCTCTGGGACCACTTTGTTTCCGTAACAAGGTGGTTAATCTTCCCATGATGACGGCAGGTGAGGACAATGGACGGCGTCCGGACTGCCCCGGGTTCAGCCCGCAGCCAGGTGAGAAGGCGCCGTCTCGGACCGCGCGGCCGGCGCGGCTCGGGAGCAGGGTTAAGCTCCCGCCCCCAACGCTGGCGGTAGTAAACCTTCCAGTAAGCGCTATAGAACCTGTCTCCACTTATTCAAATCGCCCTTTTTTCTTTCCTTTTCTTTTTTTTTGGTTAATCCTCTTCTGAGGACATTTTTCCCATTGATTTTTAGAGAGTGGAAGGCGGGGAGAAACATCCAGGTGAGAGACACTTGCACCCCCTCCAGCGCGGGGAGCCGAGGCCCTTCAGGGCTAGGGCGGGGGCCTTCCCCACCGCGCACGACAGCCAGCGCTCGCGTCGCCCTTTCCAGTCCCTGCCACTTGTCACTAAGCCAGTTCCCTCCTCTCCGTTGTCATTTCTTCCAGGAGGGTGTCTGCAGCCTTACAGATGCGCAAGAACACGTGTTCCTGAGAGCGTCTGGGCCGCGGC